AAAAAAAGAAAGAAAGAAAGAAAGAAAGAAAGGTGAAAGAAAAAGATGGAAAGGAAAAAGAAAGAGAACCGGCTTTCTTTCCGAGCCGCTTTCGTGTTGGTTTAAGCTTTCGCGAGGATCTTCTTGGCGAAGAAATGGGAACAGAGTCGGAAAGATCGGCAACTTCGTCATTCCTTTCCTTTTTCACGTAATTTTCGTAATTTTCTCGTTTCTGGTCAAACCACCATCGACTTGATTAACTTCGAAGCCACCACGAAAATGCGACCAGCCTCGACGAGGTTATTTCGGATGCATCGAGCTTGGTCGACCGGCGAAAAGTTATGCGCTACTAATTTGCGCGTGGACACCGGTTACGGTTAATTACGAGGCCGGCAGCGAGGGAAAATGTCAGCGATATGGACAGATGCCTGAGAAAATATTGGCGGCACGGGGGAGCACGTAAACAGGGAGCCTTGCCAAAAATTCCGCGCGCGTCGCATCGTCGCGGTCGGAGATGCATACATCTCTCCATTCGCTCTCTCTCTCTCTCTCTCCCTTTCTCTCTCTAGCCTAACGAGCGGTTGCATCGCCGCGACGCAATTAACACTGTTCGGGACGCGGCCGCGCAATTATCGTGGCATCGCGTGGGCGTCGCTGTAACCTGCACCAAATAAATATTAACGCGTGGCTCGATAAAAGAAAAAGAAAAGAAAAAGACAAAAAAAAAGAAATCCCGACCGGCTCCTTAAACTTGATTTGTGCTCAATTACCGCGCTCCACGTCCGCCACCCTTCATCCTTCATCCCCTTATCCGTTTCAATTCGTGTCCCGAGGCAACATCCTCCTTTTCCTTCTTATTATACGTGCTCGTCGCGACGATTTTATTTATACGCGTGGCAAACAACCCGCGTCTCCGTGGCGTCGCGATGCAACGGGGGGAAACGCGAGCAGACGTTCCGGACGCACCGCGTGCAACGGAGAACGAAGACGGGAAACGCGGGGCAATTCGTTTCGTATTTTATATCTGGCCGTAGGCTCCTTGGCTGATTCATCCCCCTGCGACCACAACGCGAACGGGAACGCGAATTATTTCGGATCTTCGGCGAGGTTTACTGAACCTTGGGCAGCTTTCAAGAATCTCTTAAATACCTGGAACGGTGCAAACAAAATTCTCAGTTCAAAGACACCGATACATATATATATATATATATATATCGACAGAGTTCGATCATTCCTGACAAGAACATTCTTTTCTTTTCTTTTTTTTTTTTTTAGAGTAAACTTCTTAAACTTGAAGTTTGCTTTCAAGTTATAACCAATTACTGTAATTTTGTAATTTTTAAATTTTAAGACACGTACGAAGAAAGTTGCAGCAACTGCAAGAGACGACGCAACGATTCAGAAAAAATTGAGAATTTTCTCCCGTACCGTTTCGTAATCCCCCGGAATAAATCCGAAAAGGAAACGTTTAAACGGAAATCCAACCCCCCGGTAAACGATTCTGCAGCGACGCGACGAAATTTCAATGGGTGACAGCAATGGGAGGGAACGCGTATTTTCCAAGAACTTGTTCGGGTGAGAAAGAACGAACAGGCGGGGGAGAGGGGTCCGCTTAAACGTCACGGTAAACAGGGGCAACGGCGTAATTCGGATGCTGGCGCAGGTGTTACGCGGAAACATCTATCAAGATAGCGAGATACGAGCCAAGGGGAGCGGCTCCTCTGTAAAGAGAGCGGCGAGGATCGGGAGGAGGGGGGAGACTGTGGATCAACTCGAAGAAACCGGGGGATTTCATGGGACAGGACGCACTAAGCTTCCACGAGGGTGCTCTCTCGGGCTCGTCTTAACCCTTTCCCGCGACCTCGCAGCGGATCGCGCGGAATTAACTTTTCTCCCGCGGCGCGGCACTCTTCGAGGACTTTGTTCAGAAGCTTCCTCCGACGCCACGTGGATCTCATTGAATTTTTATCTTTGAACCGTACGCGTACATCTATACGTTTGTGTTAATAATTATTATTTTATTGTAAGTATTGAAAAATTCAGGCGAATTAGACGCTATTATTGTTATTTATGAAATTTACCGATATACCATGCTGATTGAGAGAACATATACATTGGTAATAAATAGATATATTTCGAAATCTGATTTCTTCACACGACCGCCGTTACGTTAAATACTCTATTTATTATATTGTACGACGTATGCGACGTACGTTTAGAATTTCTCACCGCAAACATGTTAAGCTAATTGTAAGCTCAACGTTGATTCTAACGAATTGAACAAATTTGGGAAACACGTATCGTATAGTCAATAACGTTAAAATAAAATGCCTCGGTTGAAAAACAACCATCGCTGTTGCCAATTTCCTACGAAAATTATCGATTCGCCGTGAAGAGTCTGCCGCCGTTTTACGACCGTGAAGCTCGAAGTTGAAAATTGTACACGCGCCACCGGCCATCAAAGTCACGACTTTAGGAGTACGATAATCCGACGAAGGATGCATCGGCGATTAAACTCGCATTTCCCGGAGAACGAAACGAAAGGCGACCGTGTCCGGCGAGGCTAATATCAGCCGGCCATAAACAGCAGTCGAACGATTAACCGTATCATTATGAATCATAAGAGGAACGGAGGCAACGGGCTTATTAATTGCGATCGTTTCGGACCGGCATTCCGCGTACGGCAAATTGCATCGGTAAGGTAACGCGAAACGGTCGTAAAATGTTACTTCGTTCGCCGTCTCGTTCGTTGGAATCTCGAGCGCGTGTTTTCCCCTTTTTTTCTCCCTCTTCGTTTCTTGCGCTCTTTTTATCTCGATTCGAGCGTCGATGAAAAGAAAGACAGACAGAGAAAGAGAGAGAATGTGAAAAAAATCTGTCGACATTTAACTGCGAGGCAGCGAGCAACTCGTAATACGCGTTCCATATATATATATATATATATCAGCAACGCATTCGCGAAATGTTTCTGTTAACGATTATTGTTCCAAGATTCTCGCGCGATAATAAAAGAACGAGTAGAAGATGGATATTTCCGGATAGATCAATTGAATTTGTCGGGAACAACGCTCGTGTAACAACTGAATGCTACGAGATCGGGATTAGAAAATCGATCGGTGGGGAAAGTATCGCGAGAGCAGAGGCAGAACGCCTTGTCGAGCTTATCAGCCGCACCTGCAGCCGCGTTCTGAGCGGATGCAGCCACCTACGAGGGGCCCCTGTTAACCTGTTCCTCGCGATCGTCCGAGATCCTGGTCAGCCGGCGATACCGCCGCTTGTACAACCGAGAGAAGAATCTCGCAACAACCTCGGGGCTATCGCGTTTATGGCGCGCGGCGACCGAAAATCTCGGGACGGTGTACACGCGCTCCGTGAGTGCGTTTATCGGTAGCGTCAAAATTCCGCGGGATTTACGGTACTGCCGGCCGCGATACACGAACGAGAGGCGACGTCGAAGACGAGAGGAGCAAGAACGAAGGAACGAGTTTGTTTCGCGAGGCGAAACAAAAAGGGGGACGTGGAACGGGAACGCTCGTTTGTCCGGGAAATCGAGAGGTCGGTGAGCGAGAGAGGAAAAGAGAACGACTTCTCCTCTCTTCGTTGCGCTCGCTCGACGGCCCAGATACGAAAATCGTAAAGTCGCTACATAATAGCGGCTGGTATAATCCGGCACGGCACTTCTCGCCGAGATTAAAGGCGCATAAAGCGGACTGGCATAAACGTTTTACAAGCTGCTCGCCTACCTGGTGTGTCGCGCCGAGCGAAATACGTACATACGTATTATTTCAAACGTGTCTTTCTCCCATCGGCAACGCTCGACGGCGTTACGGTTTCATTCCGCAACGGGGAAATCTCGCCTCGCTGGTCGTGTTAACGCGTGTGTGGTCGACGAAATCAACCAGAGTCGGATAGCTCGCGTTTCGAAGAAATAATCGCGGAACAACGCGACACTGCCGGCGGGTCGTTAGGCTTTACGACCGGTGAAAGTCGAGCCGCGACGATGACTGTTGCACGCGGGAACGTGGGAAACGCGAATCGATCGATCGCTCGATGGAGAAAACGATTTTGATACGCCCTTTGTTCTCCTCGTGATTTGTCCTCCTTTCGATCGCTTCGGCTTCGATAAAAGTTGTTCTCGATAAAAGGTGCCCGGCTTGTGCGTGCGTCGGATGTCGAAAGATTCCTACGATCGACACGTTCCACTTTGTCGTAACTACCAGTTACTCGCAAAGATCGAATTCCTAAGTTCCCAGCTGACACGCCGATACGTCAAATTCTTTTCCGCTTCGCTCGGTCGCTCGCTTTCCTTCGGAACGGAACGCAAGAACCCCCTCCTCATTGAAACCGCGGCTTTATCTACGATAGGGGGCACGTTAGGAATCCCGCGGGCTTGACAATGCCACATCTTAATGGCCGCGCGGCGACAGGTATCGCGGGAATTTCGAAATCCACCATGGTCGTCTATACGTGTTCGCTCGTATTTCGCGCGATCGACGCGCCTTACCGATCTACTTGTCGCCGTTTCACCGTTTCCGTCAGCTTGGCCAACCAACGGAAACCTAATGCAAGTCAGATTTTACGGATAATATCGGTGTGTTGCGACCGAGTGCAATAGGGAAAAGAAATTTGTGTGTTTCTCACCGACAAGCGAGGGTGAGATCGAGAATGTGTCCTTGCGTTGGAGAGCAAATCATTTGCTCTTTACGTGGGGCTGTAATAACGCGTGCAATGGATTGAGTCGTTCGGAAAATTCGTAACGAATTATCATTCGAACAAATTATTAAGTTCTAATCCTGGTTTGAAAGGATCGGAGGGAAACATTATTATGAAAACGCGTTGGAAACGAAAAATATTGAATTTTAACTGTGTAACGTTCAGAATTACACCGTACTATCTATTCTGACTTTATCAAGCTCTGAGAGCTTGTAGGCATTCATCGTAAGCTATGTAAGAGTTTCCGTAAATTTCGCCACGAATTCTTCGAACAATCCAATACGGAGAAACTTTCTTTCAGCACTCACCAGTTGTTAACTTGAAGAATCGTCAACCCCGTGTCCTGAGCGAGCTGCTTCTTCTGGTCTTCCGAAGGGTACGGATGCTGCAACAAAAAGAAGGAAAACGAACAAATTTAATAACCATCCTCCCTCGTGTGAATCGAAACTGCGACGCGCATTTTGCAAAACACCGTGTGATAACGCGACACGTGCGATTAATCCAACGAGACGTACACCTTCTCGCTGGAAATTCGAGAACGTTTCTAGCTGACGTTACATCTTCCTTACTGAACGCGGAGGCGAGCCGTGGAGGTCGCAACTTACGCGTTATTTACGACGACACGGCGTCGAAGTGAGGGCAAAGCCCCGGGCCGTTCCGCGTTCCCCGGGCAGTCTATGCTTTTAAACAATTTATCGAGTGATTTATCGCGTAACAGGTAAGTGCACAGAGCGCATAGATGGCACCGGGGGACTTTTATCTGCGCGACAGCAGTCGCATTACACGGCGTCGCGTCGTCTGGACGCACCTGCGAAATACTATTTATTGCCGGGCAACGACGATAATAATAAAAAAAAAAAAAAAGTGAGAGAGAGAAGTGGAAAAAATATACGGGAGAGAAATACGTACGTACGCGAGCGAAGGAGGAAAAAACGAGAAAGAAGCGAGAGAGGAGTGGTGAACAAAAAATTAAAAAAATTAAAAAAAAGACTCGTATAACGGACCAGCGCGCGTTTTATCACGATGTCGCGTTGATGCAGATGCACGCGCGACGATCGCTCGCTCGTTGCTGGCTCGTATTGGCTTTCAGGGAAGACGGAGTTCACCGGGAGAAAAGGTCAATGGTAGAGGGACACGTCTCTCTTTCTCTCTCTCCGATAGGCAGTTTACAAGATAATCTCTGTACGGCGAATTATTAAAGGAAATCGAAGGATCCGCGACGATAAAGCCACAGGGACGACACAGGTTTACACGGATCGTGCGGGATTTAGTGGCCGCAGGAATGATCGTAGCAACTTCGTCGCCAGTCGCACGCTAGGTCGTTGTAAATTATTCTCTTGTTGCGTTTCAGCGTTACCCTTTCGGGAGGGGACTTGTTTCCTAACGGGACGTATTAACTTTTCCGACTGCAACTTTGTTTGCCAAAGTAATTCCTTAACGAGGAGCGTTTGTAATTATGGTTCTACGCTGGCCTCGCGTAAATACGGTGTAGATTAATTGAAACGCTTCGTAGATTAAGTATTTGCGATACGGGAGTTGGAAAATGTTGATGTTAAAATAAATGATAGTAAATTTTAATGCTGTCGCCTCGTACCGTTATTTATACGAAAATGAACACTTCAATCCAATCGTGATTTCTTCATTTCAGTCGCTTAAGGATTAATCACGCAAGAGTGATAACACAATTCTAATTTGTCAAAGTACAAATGGAAAATTGGAAAAAGGACAATTTCGTCGTGTTACTTCTGAAAAGGAGATGTGCAAGCTCATAAAAAAATTGTCTAACGTGTATGGCGGCATGTGAGAAGCTTCTAAACTACGACAGTGTCAGAATTGCTGTGCTGAATTCCACTATCCACTGACGAGGGTATCAAATCTTTCCTGTAACTTTCTTTTGTCGAAGAAAGATAAGAACTCTTTCGAACGCAGAATTGAACCTGGAAGTGACGAAAGGTAATCGAGAAGAATTATGCTGTCACTACATTGTTCAAGGAAAATTTGCACTTGAAAAGAACGTAGTTACTCTTTGATCAGCCGAATAAACGAAGCTTCAAATTTTGATTATGACATGTCACGTCCGAGTGTTTGCACGTCTCGTAGAAAAAGAAAGAGAAAGAGAGAGAGAGAAAAAAAAGAATGGTTCACCGTGACACGAGTGGGAAAGGGAAACTCGCCATTGGCAACAACTCAAAGGCGCGGCGGCGAAAGCGGAGCTAGATGCATAAATGATGCACTCCTCGGTTATTCCATCGGTCTTGTTGCGCGAGTCCATAAATTCGTATATAAATCTCATCGTTCTTCCAGCGAAGTTACTGCTCGCATTAATTTCGCACTTGCGGCAACGCCGGCCGCTCCGATGCGCGCCGGAGCAACAGGAAGACGAACGACACGTGACCGAACTTGCGCGCCCGTTAGAACGAAAACATTCACCGCGGAATGCCTTGGTTTATGAATTACACGTTAATCCGTGTGCACGGTGTTTACCGGATAAAAAAATAATTCGTGAAAATGGGAATTCTCCTCTAATGTAATGTCTCCTCCAAATGTTTCAAGCATTCCGGGGAATAACATTATTGATCACGAAGAATAGTGGAATGTATTGACTGAAAGCAAATTGATAATTAGAAGCGCGTACTGTTTGAAACAACGTTAATAATTTTAGAAGGATCCGTCCGACTTCGCAGAATAAAAAGCTTTAATTAATACAGCGACTAAATGCTGAAAATTAATTTTTTCGTGATGATGTTACATTATACACGTGATGCACAAAATTTCCTTCCATCGAAATTTCACGATCGAATCACATCATGCATATATAAGTAAACATCCACGCGCTTTAAACGATAGCGTGCATATTTCAAGACGTAGCAAATAACCGAATCAATATTCCACGAGATTAAAATGATAATTGAATGAGCTGTCAGAGCATAGAATGGTATCTTGCATTATGAATGGGCGAGCGCCGAAACTGAATGAAACGTTGGAAAAAAATAAGAAACAAAGGACAAGCACGCGATTCGCGGATGATCGTGTTAATTACATCGCAAGATAAACGCCAGTCCCGCGGGGACAATGCGTCGTGCATCTTAATTTTCATCTCTTGTATTTCGTTAGTTCTCGCGGCGACATTAAAGCCCTCGCTGAACGAACAAATCGCGGTTACTACGGCGCCATTTGTCACAGAAAGAGCGTGGAATTCGCGCCAACGTCGAACTTGCGTACGTAAGTAAGTACTTGCACCTACACGCCCTGTATATCACGTGGCATTTTCACATCAGCAACTTCGTAGCTCTAGCCTCACGACTGAAACTGCCTGCCACTCTCAGATTTTTGGCATACGTTCCTTGGAGTCTGCCGAAGTTTCAAGGTCCCCTGCATTCGAAATATCTTTCGTCCTAACTTCAGTCGCGTTCAAGTTATTTTCTCCGCGAAACTTCTTCATTGTTTCGAGTCGCATCGTCTCTCCTTTACGCGCCCATTGTTGCTCGTTATTTACGCTTCTCGCGTTATTCTTCCCTCGTTTATTATTAAATCAGATGTTTCATTCTCCCAACAGCCGCCTGGTATCTTTCCACGTTCTTTTATTTTTTATTTTTGATTCTTCGTCTTTGATTTCTTTATCTTCGCACCGCGAAAGAGAACCTTAATTTTTTTACACAAGAATACACTGTGATATACTCAACAACAGAAAAATCCAGCAAAGTTCTCGATTTCTTTTTTTTACCTCCTCGCTTCAAGTTTACTTTTTCACCTACCTTCGACATCTATCCCCTCGTCAACCGCCCGCTCATTTCTTAATCGAGGAACTTCTCAGCCAGGAGGAATGAGAGGCGTGTGCAATATTCATTCAATTCGCGGAGTGTTACCTGCAACTTTCTCGCGGTAATACTTTCAGGGAGTCAAAGTTGTGCATCGTCACGAGCCGGCCCCCGGCGCGGGGGGTGGACGACCCTCGTGGAAAAGCACGCGGCGGTGGCGCGCAGGATGGAGCAGGAGGGGCGGGCAGGCCAGAACGGACCGCCGCGAGCACTTAAGACTATTGTTTTCAATGTAATTGGATAGCTGCTGCCTTCTCTCTTTCCCTCTTTGTCCCTTTTATTTCCGCCAGCCTTCCCGTTCCGGCAAGCTACCACGATCCGAGACGAGGGTGAAAAGCAGTCAGCCAGCCGGTCCCCATGTAGCTTCAACAATTATCTTGATTGTTTTATGCATACACCAACGAGGCGGACGCGACTCAGGCCAATGGGAGACAGAGAGACCCGATCCTTGGGATTTCGCGAACGAAACACGACCCGACTACGCGTCGAAACTCCTTCCGAGCTTTTTCCGCCTTACTTTGGCCGTCGTTGGTTGGCGATAAATCTGCCTCCGGCTAATTTTTCGCTCGGAACGACAGCAGAGAGGAACGGGTTACTTTCGAGTGTCAGTCCGCGGCGATAATTTACCCCAACACAATCGGGTATTTATGAATTGTGCAAAGGAAAATAATGAACCAAGTAAAAAATGGTATTAGCTGTTGAATTGAATATTTCGTGCTCGCTATCGCTATTAATTTAGATTAAGAAGTACTGATCGATGATTGGAGAATGATTGAGAATGATTTAGGATTGTCTACATTTTCTGGCCAAATCGATCGATTTCACTTTTTGTTAATTCGAGCAGCAAGGTTCAGTTCAGTCAATCATTCGAGTCAGACGAGCATCAGAAGGAATCAGTTTTCGTCCTCAGTTTAGTCAATGAAATCAACCAGTGTCAGACTTAGTTATTTCCTACATTAATGGTCAGGCAAGTCAGTTGCAGTCCAACCTATAAGGATTTTTTTTCAACGTTCCTCAAACCCTCAAGATCATCGTCCAGCCATTTAATTCACGTTACTCGGTCCTCCGGTGTTTTGGATCCGCGATCGATCCTCGTCAAAATCCACCGGCGCCGCGTCTCAATCCGCCCTCACGCCGCTCCGTGCCGCCCCCGCCGACCGGGTATGACGTTACGCCGCAAATGGAGAGAACGCTAGGTAGTCGAGCAAGATCCGATAGAAACTCCACCGGCAGACAATGCTCTCGGCCGATTTAATTAGGATAAGAATCGCTTGAATCGCGTATACACGGCCACACAATGGGCTTTCACGAACCGGGGATGAGAGAGAGAGAGAGAGAGAGAGAGAGAGAGAGAGAGAGAGAGAGAGAGAGAGAGGCGAAGCCACGCTTCTGCTTGTACGTATAGCGTGGCTCGCCTCCAAGAAACATGATATACAACGGGGCGGAGAGGTTGGCGGCGGGGTTACAGCGGTTTCCAAAAATACCGCAGGCTTTGGGAGGGGGGGAAAAAAATAACGAGCACAAGCGGCAGGGGGATAAAGCGGGACGGGGGAGAGGCCGAGAACGTAATACCGCGAGCGCCACGTGCTAATTATGTAAAAATATGATGCGGTTCGGCCGCTTGCGGTGCAGCCGCGGGCTTTTATGCGCAGCCGGATCTGCCGGATCGCGCGTTCGTGCCGTGCCACCGTCCGCTTTGGCATCGAGGCTCGTAGCTTCCTCCTCCCCCTCCTTTCCGATATTCACGTCGAATTTAATGTTTGCGTTGCCTGGCGTCGTGAATTACGAGCGTGCGGTGTCACCGAGCGAGCGATACCCAGGCCTGATTTAATCGGCCGCCATCGTGACCCAAGACGTATCGGTTACTTGTCGCTTATCGTCCAAGGAAATGATACGATACTGTAGAATCCACACCGTATAGATTGTAGATTACGCGCGGGTCGGTAGAATTGGCAGAAATCTTGGCAATTTAGCAGGAGTGTTGGCGTCGCTCGCGTTGCTAATAGATTGTCGGGTAATCATCGAGGAATTAATTAACGAGAAACTAAAAGTTCAATTGTAGGCAACTAACGAGGTGAAAATATATTCAACGAGAATTAACGTGAGATGTTACCTCTGTAGATAAACGTCAGACAGATGGAACAAGCTTTGAGCGAGAGGGCGAGAAAGGGTATAAATGGAGATGAACACAGTAATTTCTCCGTTTCAGACGGAGAAATCGGAATTGGCCAGCGAGAGGCGAAAGCGCGGAACGACTCGGCGGCCAAACAAGCGATAAAATGAAAACGAGCGATAAAAAGACAATATGAAAACCATTTGTGCTCTCTCTTTCTCTCTCTCTTTCTCTCTCTTTCGGTCGACTCTCTCGAGTTGGGGTAGAAACGAGCCAGGCGGAAGCTCGGCTAAGTGTGTAAATGAGTCGGTAGTTTAGCCCGATTGCCTCGAGACGACCCCTTTTCGTGGTACGCTAACCTCATTGCATGGGCCGCTACCTTGATAGCGTAGACGTAGCTGAAATAACCGTGGCCCTTTCGGCAAGTCGAACTGCTCCCTAAGACAATTCTCGAGGCAATGAGATCGTTCGTGACCCAAATTCAAATCGGTACAAACTTTCTAGCTAGTTCCGGTGAGGTATCCTTCTTCGAGGATTCTAACCTCTTGAACGTTCTTAGCATCCACAGGTGTGCGCGGTTCGCGGTTCAACAGAGTTCAACAGGACGAGCAGCTCCGCGAACAAAAATGACATTCAAAGGTGATGACCCTACGGTGTTGTCACGCTCGGCCTGTTCGTCCGTCGAGGATGATGAATTAACGCAAGAAACGCTCGAAGAAAAAAGAAAAAGAAAAAAAGACGAGAGGAGAGCTCAATGTCGTGAGCGCAAATCGTGTCTGCGTCAGATTAATCGAATCGAAGGATTACATCGGAAACGGTGATACATCCCCGGTACGCCCACTTCTACCCCAGAGGGTACACGGAACCGAAGAAGAAGAAGAAGAAGAAAACTAATTTCACTGTCTATTAATATTCAATGTACGCGCATTAGCATCGCGCAATGTTTCAACTTGTAACCTGTTCCCGAGCGCGAATAGCGGGGCTCCAGTCGATAAATCATAGGAAAGCGAGAAGCAAGCCGAGCCTGTTATTAATCGTTCTCGATAAGCAACCGACCGACTGCGGTTCCCGCAGAATTGCCAAAGTCTGGCCGACGATAACGACGACGACACCCCTGGCTCGCGGCTCAGAGTGGCCGTCGTGCACCCGTGTCTTCTTTCTCTCTCTCTCTCTCTCTCTCTCTCTCTCTCTCTCTTTCTCTGTGCCCTCTGATCGGACCAATTGCGCACGTATCCTCGTTACGATCGAACGACGCGATACAGGCAACCGGTTGTCACGAAGAAGCCGGTTGTCTCCTCCCTCCCTGACTTTGTTCGTCCACCCTCGGCTACCACCCAGCCACGTAACACCGTCGACGACGAATCGACCATCTCGCCACGTCGCCGCGAGCACGCGACAATTTGCTGTCTCTGGATGCTGCGTCAGGTCGCGCGATGTCGAATGGGCGGACTCGCACGTCGCACACCGATCCGCATCCCGGTCCTTTCCTCTCTTTCTGGTCCGCGTGTCCTTCGTTCGAAACTCCGGGACCCCTCTCGGGCCGATAACCGCGGCCCCGGATGACACGTCGATGACGATCGCTGCTGACTCCGACTAACGAGCGGGGCGTTGGGGGCGTGAGAGCCACAGATCGCGCCTCGTCATCACGCGCATCAGTTTCACCCTTCTACTGGCTGCCCGTACGTCTCGTGCACGGAGGTGTTACTCGAAACTGTTTGATTTTGCGAATGATGGAAACTTTTTCCAATTTATAGAATTCGTTGGCGAATAATGAATGGCCGTTGTTACAAAAAGTTGGTAAAAAAAAGGGGTGGGGGGGAATAAAACAGCTACGAGATGCTACAAAATTTTATCTGCAGATAAAATTACATTTATACAGAAATATAGAGCCTCATGTAACATGGAACTTTCATGTACGCGACTTTCAGCGTGGCTCGTCGATTCGACAAGTTTCCGCGGGGAAACGAATTATCTTGAGTTTTAAAAACACCGTTCTGCCGGAGGCGAGAGGGTGAGAAAAACCGAGCTGTCGTTAAGCAAGCGGTATCCGAGCAGTAAAACTGCCACGGCCGAGCAATTTGAAAGCAGAGGGTCGCGCTCTTTGCTGATGCGAGAACCGAGAAGGTTGAGAACGAAATAGGCGACGTCAGCGCGTCAGTCATCCCTAATACCTTCATTCCGACTGTCTCCTTTCCATCGGTGGATAGCTATATAAGGCATTTCCATGAGCGAGCATAACTTCGTTACCGTCTCGGGGGTTATTCAATTTCGGCGTTAAAATCCTCTAATGTGCCGTTATTGCAAGCGGGCCGGATGGAGGAGGTAATGGCTGGCGCACGTCGAAAGGACTTCCACGGGATTTCCTTCAAGAGGAGAGGATCGTCTATGCGAAGATTCGAGAGCCGACTGGATATTACAGAAACCGTCCTACGATCAAACTCTCTGCCCGTGTGTCAGAAATAAGTCAAGAAACAAAATCGAGAAAAAAAAAAAACGCAGTAACGTTTCTGAGATGGATAATTTTCTTGATTTTACTCGAGATACACGGAAGAGTTTTTACACCTAGTTGGTTACCGTTGAACTATTTTGAAGAAGACTATGATTTATTGTCAATTACCAGACGTACATCTCTGTTGATAAGTAGCAGAATACATCCTAATTCTTTACACAAGACACGATGATTGATTGAAATTATCCAGCAAAGGATTAGAGAAAGTCCAAGAGTTTAGAATTGCCAAATGGAGTTAGTGTGCACTCTCGCGTGTTCATTTACGATTCTATACTCTCCATTGTACCTATCCAATTTTCTGCGCTCCTGGGAACGTACGTGATA